TGGAAATTTACAATCTTGGGCATATTTAAGATCTTGGGCCTGGTGCCATAGGTCTCAGTTCTCAGGCCTACCATGTGTCCCATCCTAATTCTTAAGCCTTCTGTCTAACAAGACTTCAGCTTTCCATTCAACTCAGTCAGGCTCTGTCCAACTCAGGCCACCTTCTGTACATCTTGGTTCTTCAGGCTTTTGTTGGCCTCAGGTCTGGAGTTTCCATGTATCTTGGGATATGGGCTTTCCATCTTAGTCCTCAGGTCTCAAGTCTGAAACCATTTGTCTTCTACTTTGGACCTTCTATCCATCGTGAACCTTCCACCTTCTGTCCATCTTACATCTTGGGATTTACTTTAGTCTAGAGAGACCATAGGGCCTTGTTTTGGTCTTGGATCATCTCACAGGGACGTTGGCATAAGGAACAGCTCGGCAATGCTTTCTTTGATAGCTGACATTCTGTACCTATTGGGAAGGGGTTAGGAAGCCCCTCTGCCACACATAACGCACACACATACACATGCACATATATATGCAAAGAAATTCAAGGAAAGGATTATATAAAAACAGAGAGGGAGACAGACTCATGAAGAGGATGAAATACTCAAAGGTGAGTAGAAAGGGAAAAGGCAAAGGAGAAATACAAATGAGCAGAGAGATTAATGCTGAAACAGAAAATCACAAACAGCAAAGCGACACTGAGATGCACAGGTGTTGGGGGAGGAAATAGTCTAAGAGAGGCATAAAAGAAATGTGGAAAAGAGAAATGCAAGATAAGAAGCTGAAACAGCAGGAAGATATGCCAGACTCAGAAAAAGGTGAAACATCAAATGAACAAGAAGGGGAAGGGGAAGGGGTGACAAACAATCTGAGTTCACAAAAAGAATGAGTAAAGAGGCAGGCAGAACAAGAAAATAAGAAAAAGCACAAAGCATGTGACCCAAAGAGAAGACACAAAAAGAACAAAGAGTGAAAAAAGAGTTAGATCTAGGAGAGCAAAGAGAAACAGCAACAAAATGAAAAAGTGAGATACATCTAAGCCAAGGCACAGAGCACTTTTGAGAACAAAGAGAAAATGAGGCAAAGGCACAGCTAGAAGAAATTAGTGAGAAACATGGAAATGGGTAAGACACACTTTAGATAGAGAAGAAAGAGCAAAGATACTCAAGGAGAAAAGAGACAAGCAAAGAAATACACAACTTATGAGTAAGAGATAAACAAAGCAGACATTCAGAAGAAGAGGGTAAGAAATAGAAAACACAAGGTAGCAGGGAGTGAAACAAGAAGCACAAAAAGTATCCTAGAAAAAAAAAAAGTGCCATTAATAATTACAATAAGCTACCATTGCTACAAATATTACTTATACTAGAACTACTACTACTACTAACAACCACCAGCATAGATGTTCTTTTCTACTTAAACTTTTTCCTTAGGGGATTTCTTTTTTTTTTTTTTTTTTTTTTTTTTTTTTGAGACACTCTCACTTTCTCACCCTCCATAGAGTGCTGTGGTGTCATAGCTCATAGCAACCTCCAACTCTTGGGTTCAAGTGATTCTCTTGCCTCAGCCTCCTGAGTAGCTGGGACTACAGGCACCTATCACAACACCCGGTTATTTTTAAAGATGGGGTCTTGCTCTTGCTCAGGCTGGTCTGGAAGCTGTGAGCTCAGGGCAATCCACCTGAGTTGGCCTCCCAGAGTGCTAGGATTACAGGCATGAGCCACCGCACCCAGCCTCAGGTATTTCTTACATGCAACCAAAATGTGCCCACTCTACCTACTACCAAATAGTGTTAGTGGTCACTTGTACTATATCCAATGAAATGTCTTGGGTTATCTTTTACTTACCACATACCAGGCACTATATTAAGCATTTTACATACATTATGTCATTTAATTCTCACAAATAGATGAGTCTAATGGGAAACACTAGACTGGAAAAAGACCATACACCTACTGAGTAGCAAAGAGAATTTAAACACAGAATGTGTGCCTCTTAATATTCTGCTCCAACTATTTATTGGGATTTCCATAAGAGCCAAACAAGATAGATAGTACAGGTGAGTGAATATTTCCATAAAGAACGCTTAGACAGCACTTAGTCAATCCCCTCATTTTATAGCTTCTCCTTTCTTCAACTTTTTTTTTTTTTT